ACCCCTGCCTGGCATGCTGTGGTTATTTCCACTAGAGCGGGGACCGTGCAGAGGCAGACACAGTTCCTCTAAATGTGCCTCTGACCTAGTGTTCAGATTTAGCTCCCTTCACTCTAATGCCATGCTAATGATGAGTGACACAGGCCCTTATCCTGAGAGCTCTTCTCCTCGCTCTTCTCTTTTGCCCTCCCTCCTCTCTTCACCATCTCCGGGGAACAGCTTATTTGCCTGTTTTTAATTGCGTTTTAATTTACATGTAAGCCTGGAAGCAAGTCTTTTTTATTTTTATTTTACACCCCTCCCCTTCTTTTCCTTCCTCTTTTCTCACCACTGAGGGATAGTCAACTGTAGCTCTGACCAGATACTGAAGAGTCTGGGTTGAGTAACAAGAACGTCCACATTCATCGCCAATGAAAACAACAGACTGCGAAGGGTGCCGGGTTCCTCTTTGTGGGGTCAACACTGGTTCAGGAACAATCGAGTGTCCAGGGCAGATAAAGAGAGACAGAACGATGGGAGGGGGAGACGGAGGCACAGCGGTGAAGCTGAGGATGTAGATGGAGCCGCCATCTCTCCATCAAAGTCTAATAAGAGGAAGAGTAGACAGAGGACCAGCTGATAGACAAGTTTAATGTGCTCGTCTATCTATATGGAAATTCAGCCGCACGTGTTGTCTCTCTCTCTCTCTCTCTTTTTTTCCATAATTCAGTTTGGGTTCTGATTGGCTGCGCACAGAGCAAAGAGAAGGGGCTTCAGAGAAGGAAGATAAAAACAAGCCTGGTTCCCCTGATCAAAGAACACAACAGGGATTTCAGATTGGTATTAAACTGGCAGAGATAATCACGCGTTTGCCGTTCGTCCCTGAGAGAGAAACTGCCGTCCGCAGCACTTTTAACTCACATACAAACAAAGCCTCTCTCTGTTAATGCTATACTTTGTTTTTTAGCTTATGCTCTTATTCTGTCCTTGTGGCGTCCCCCCCCTCCACTCCTCCCCCCGCTGCACACAGGCAAACCTACTGTATGATTCACGACTTCTGTAAATGTGAGGCTGTTTATCAGTCCGCTGTGTGGTTTTGTATTTGCATAAAAATATGCTTTATTACAGAAAAGTTTTAGCACAAGAGCTGCACGACTATAATCACCTCTGTCTCCCACACACACACACACACACACACACACACACACACACGGCCTACGGCAAGTCTGTCAGGACTCGTGAGTCGCTCTGGCAGAGTGTGTGTCTGTGTCACTCATCGTCCTGTCACTCTGGTTCACGTGCACTAGACATCATACGCTCTACACAGGAACTGCCTGTGTGTGTGTGTGTGTGTGTGTGTGTGTGTGTTACAGGTACTGCAGCTCACCACATCAGAGCAGATTAGGCCTCACTTCCTGAACATAACAGCACAGGCAGCCCTTTGTCTGCTGCGTGTCCTCTGTTGTCCTCCCTCTGTTGTTGGAGAGGTTTTCTGTGACAGTGCTGCGTCGTGGGCCTCAGACGTGCGTTTCACCGTGATGTGGCTGCAGCAGAGCAGCACAGTCTCCACACCAGCGCTAATTTAGCACGTCTCGTCCTACACACACACACACACACACACACACAAATGCACAGCTGCACACACATCGGGCGCTAAAAGCTCATGGCAAGTTTCCTGCTCAAACTTTTTAATTGAAGGATTTAAATGTTTCTTACCATGAGCAAACGGAGCCTGGACATTTTCCTGCCAAAAGTCTCTCAGTCCCAGGGAGGCTTCAATTCCTGGTAACTCTAAAGTAAATTATCCGGCTCTGCATCCTTCCCAAGGAAATAAATTTGCTGTTTTCTTCATCCCTTCCAACACAGTTAATTGGACTCAGATTTTCAAACACATATGTTTTAAAATGACCAAATTTAAAGATGATGAAACGGCAGCAGAGCAGCTGAACCTCAAAGTGAAGAGAAATAGGACATTTTTGTAAAGTGGTTTTTTTTTCCTTTGACTTTATTGGAAACAACTAATTCTTTTGTAACAGATAAGTTTGTTGTTTAGTGTTTTTTTCCCCCTTGGCTTCCAGGCTTTCTTTAGTCATAGCCTGTCATTTACACAGAGATGAACATTTATGAAGAGTTTTCATTTCCTCTGTTTGTCCAGACTGTGGGGCAGTTTTTTTGGATCGTGACTCTGATGTTTTTGATCACCTGGGGCTAAAATCCTGACAATATACTGTAAGTTCTCATGTTAGATGTTAAGTATTTTTGTTATTGGTGCAACTTTTCTTAAGCACATTATGATCCTAATTATCCATAAAATGCGACTAATATCTTTACATTTGTATTTCAATTCTAACATTGTTTCACGTTTGTTGTACAGATCATTTCATAAACATTAAATAAATTATTCATATAAATGTAGCTATCTTTAAGAATCTGCGATTAAGCGATTAATACAATATATTTGTATTTCTCAGGCTTGTAGTTTTTTTTTCAACTTTTGCAATAAGTTAACGTGTATATTGTGTTTCTAACACGAGGTAATTCAAACAATTAGTGGCTTCGAAGCCAAATTATCTTTATCTTTAAATTAGAAAAAAAAGTCCCTTAATTACAACAATAATCATTTTGTCTCCTGTAAAGTCTGTGGACTGAGCAGTGACTTAGTCAAACAGTTTTTTCAACTGTTTAAAAGTGACGTTGTGTGGGTCCTTCTTTGGGGAATTTACATTAAATGCGATTGGCTGGAGCTGTCCCTGTGCAGCTGCCATGTGAAGACTCTTTGTTCGTAAAGTTTGTAAAAATGCAGCAGAGCTAATTTAAGGCTTTGTGGAAATCGTCCAAACTTGTGTTTTTTTAAGGGCAGACAGGGTTTCTGTGCCGAGCTCCAGCGAAGGAATAGAAACACAAAGAGAGGATATTACAGTGAAAACAGTAATTTCAGTAAACACTCTGCTCATTCGACTGACTCAGCCTAAAGCATTGTATTACGTTTGGCAGAAGGTCAAGATGCATTTTTGTATGCAACGAGAACCGCAAACTGCAGATGTGCCTCACACTGAAATCCCATCAGGATAAGAGCCTTTTGGTGACTTCTCCACATTTGAATGGTAGAACTGTTTAAGGGCTTATGGGAAACGAGCGGCCGTTGGTTGTCTGGCGTGTAGCGGACTCTTTACTGCGCCGTAAAACAGTCCATAAAAAAGGCTGCTTCAATAACAGCATTGTCAAACTATCATCTGAAACAATAGACCATATATATTCAAATGGACAACATTCTGTTGCTGTGAGGATGAGCAACTTCCAATTGGACCCTAACCATTTGACACCACTGACTGTCCAATCATCACCATTGTTTTTTTTTACATCTTTTACATCAGTCAACATCTTATAAAAGTGACTCTACAGTCCATGGTCAAAGACCGTGATCTGTCCAATCAGAACATAGCATGTCATAACAGGTCAGGAACAAAAGACCATGAATGCACCAATGTCCAATGAACTGTGATCGACCGACTGGTTAAATATAAATATATGCAGATCTGACCCTCACAACAACAACGCAGCAGCAGAGTCTTAAGAAAAGTCTGATTCAGCAAAGCTTAAAATAATTCAGCAGCTTCGTCTTTGTCAGACGTAAGAGGCGCAGAGAAGATTACCTTGCTTACGCCGGGCGTCCCATGTGTTCCAATTCGATATGGTTTCTCTGTGATATATCTCTCTTGTCTTCATGTGATGGTTATTTAAAGGGAAAGCCATGGATTTTCTCCCCCCATATAACATAATGGCAAATCAATAACCCGGGCCATACGAGGAGAGCGGGCTTTTCGTAGCAGGCCTAAAGGATGGGAGGGCAAATTGAACCGGAGTCTGGGTGAAAAAAAAGGGGAGAGATGGATTTTAAAACAACATTATAAAAAACAGCTGATTAATCATTCTTGTCCTTTATGGAGATGAATGTAAAAAAATGTGTCGTCATCATAGTGTCAGGAGGAACTTGTATTCCACCAACGCAGTCTGTTCTGTTCCATTTCCTTGTCTCCCGTCTGGAGTTGGATTGCAGCTGTGGATGGGTGTGTTTGTGTGTTTGTGCACACATGTGGTACATGTGTGTGAGAGTACCACTGTGCCTGCGAGGGTCCCCTGTGTTGTGGGCGACACACATACACACACATGCACACACATCCGTGTGCATTTACAGTAAGTGTGTTTTACCCACGGCAGAACTTGTCAGCCAGCAGACGTCTGACATCATGCTGTGGGCTGGTTATTCACTGCAGTGTGTTTGCATGTGTGTGTAAGATGAGGGGGGCGGGGGGGGCAGCCTGGAGGGAAAGGAGGAAGATGGTAGTTATCATGACTTATAGACTGGACAGCTGTTTCCTACTGGGCATGGAATATAGGAACCTTACTCAGAGGAATGGTTTAAATGAAGAGGGATGAAGGAAGGAATCAAAGACAACAAGGAAATGAGTCTAACATGACCAAAAAGACCTACGAAAACACAGATGTCACGCGGCAAAAATGCCCGGAGGCCTCAATGTACACTTTCCGTCCTGTCTGTCTGTCACCGACGCCGGTGTCGTCCTTATTTCTGACACTCGTGGCATTCCCTAAATGACTCACCACCACCACCACCACCAGCAGCAGCAGCAGCAGCAGCAGCAGCAGCAG